ATATTTGAACTTTTGGTGAGGGGAAAGCATGTTCTGTGCCTCTAGGCAGAACGTGCAGAACCAGGCCCCAACCCTTCTGCTTTGAACAGCACACTCTCCATCCATGTGCCAAGAACTTGGGAGGGGTGGAGTGAATTCACAGAAGGAAGTAATACCTGACATGCATTCTGAAGCATAAACAGAGCTTAGATAGGGAGAGAGAGAGAGAGAGAGAGAGAGAGAGAGAGAGAGAGAGAGAAAGAGAGAGGCTATGTTGGACATTAGAGTGTCTTGACAGATTAAGTGATCACATTTTTGTTTGAACTGGATTCAGTTAAGGGTGGTGCCTCTGTCAGTATTATATCCTGCCAGTACCCAGCATGGTACTTTGCATATAGAAGGTACTCAGTGTTTATATAAAGGGTAAGGGCTTTATAAGCACCTAGCCAGGTGTATGAAAATACTTTATCTTCTTATTACTGAACTTAATTTCTGTGTTAAGGACTGTTTGGCTTCATGGGAGAGACTGCATTTATAAAACTCAGGTTAATGCCAGTCACTTCTGGGTCTTGTCAGTCTATTCAGTTTCCTCTTCTCATCTCTGTGAAGGTGCACACTTGATGGAGATACTTATGCAGTGCTACTCTGTTGAGAGGAAACAGACTTTGTATTTTGTGCTTTGTCTGGTTATAAAACTAATCATCTTGATTGTTGAGACTGACAAACATTTCCATGTCAGTTACACTATGGTTTGAGTGTTTATGTCCCATCAAAATTCAAGTGTTGTAGCCTACTCCCTGGTGCCATGGTATGAGAAGGTGCAGCCCTTGGTAGGTGATTAAGTCATGGGGGTGGAGCCTTATGAATGGGATTAGGCTGAAGAGGCTAGAGTTCCCTCTTTCACTATGTGAAGATGCTGCTAAAAGTCACCATCTATGACACTGTGTCTGTGAGCACCTAGATCTTAGACCTGCCAGTTTCCCAAACTCTGAGAAATCACTTTCTTTTGTTTATAAGCAACCTGGGTATGGTATTTTCAAGAGCAAACTGAACAGACTAAGACAATTAATTGCTGAGAGCCATAGCCAAGTAGGAATGATGCATGGCATTTTTTGGTTGAAAGGTGACACCAGCAAGCCATTGAGATGATATGATTATGTTAAGATCTGCATTCAATTGGATATTAGACCCCTGCTGTCCGCCTAGGCCTGCTACTTTGGAGCTCTAGCGGGATTCCCGGAGAGTTCCCATTGGTTGGGGAAGTGCAGTAGGAGGGAATTCCAGAGGAGGGATTTCCTGTTGGGGTAGTATGGCCCGGCGTATTTCCCGGGAGCGTGCGTGGCATTGGCGGGAGTTTCAGAAATAAAGTTTGTTCCTGCTTGAGTGGCTCGTGATTTTGTGTCCCGCCAGACTGTGGCAATTACTATATAGGAATTTTGTTCTATTGCCACTAAATTTGTCTAATATATTTTTCTTTGCAGTACAATTATGAAAATAAATGAATGCATTTTTTTTCAGAAAGAACTAAGAATTCTCAATAATTATTTGGTATGGCGATTATAAATTATAGACAAAATTCATTAAGACACCAAATTGGGTCCACAAAATCATACTTTTTCTTTTAAAGCATATTTATCAAAAATCAAAGGTGGATTCATGCTTTCACTTATCCCAGATTCTGACATTCCTTTCATCCATAGGAGCTGTGGTTCTTTCAACCTTGTGCACTTGTGCATGGCTGCACTTCCTTCACTGTTTCGGACAAGGAATGCAGTTGCAGAAAACCAAAAATAATTTAAATAAGGTTATTAAACACCTTTGCAGTTAGGGTCAAGGATAAAAGTCACAGTTTCCATCATTTTATTCCTTGTTCCACAACTGTAGATTGGCTGGGCTTTGTGATCAGGGCTTGGCTCCAAACAGTTAGTTGATCAGGGCAGAATCAGCTCTGTGTATTTCTTATCCTCTAATTTCCAGCAGGAAAGTCAAGGCATGTGATGGGAGAAGTGGAGGAAGGGTGACTGACTAGAAGCACAGAAGGCCTCTTCCAGCTTAGGTTCAGGACAGGGACAGAGCCACTGCTGTCCACATTCTTCTGAGCAAACCAAGTCATCTGGCCATGCCCAATGTTAGTGGGTCAGAGAAATATCCTCTCTTTAGCAGGAGGATGTGCAAAATCATTGTTAAAGAAATGAGGATAGAAGGAGAGGTGAAAAATTTCAAAGATAAAAGGCAATCTACCCGAGAGGAATTAATCAGATTAAGTGCAAAGCAAAGGTGTTTAAAAAGTGCTTTCATTAAAATTCATACTTAATTTTAGCATCTGCTCTGTGTGTTGCACCCTACTGATTTCTAACTTGCATTGTTAAGTCCTGATTTATTGCCTCAAATATCAAGTTGTATGTATTAATTAATTGATATTTGGTAACCAGTAGATGTGGGTTTTAAAAATTCTCCCCTAGTCATCTAGAGTTTCATTGTTTGGTGTTGTTTAGATAGTCCTCTCTTGTTGGGTCTCAATTGCTAACTTGCTTTGCATTTCTTTTATAGAAAAAAATAAAATATATATATATATATATATATATATATATATATATATATATATATATATATATTTAGTTAAAACCTTCTGTGACTCCTTTCTGTTTGATTAAGGAAAGGACTGCTGACATTGAGCCCTTGAAATAGCCAGTCAGGCTCAGTGAAGATGCTGCTTGATTTTCTTGTTTGATTTGTGACTTGAAAGAGTCAGGAAGAATTCTCATGTTATGGAACATTGCCTCTTAATATCAATCCAATAAATTCCTGAGACCTCACAGACTATGAGCTGCCTTTTATTCATTTGTAATTGACATGACATTTAAAAAATATATCTATATATACACAGAGAGATAGATGCGTACATTCACACATCCATCTTTTACAGTACGGGTAAATGCCAAGAGTCCTGTGTGCTGAGTTGTATGTAGATTGAGTTTTCTAAATTCTATTTTTCAAAGAAATTATATTAAAAAGGCAAATGTTTCATCAGCTTTCTATTTAATTCCACCTAGAAAAATGCCTAGTGGTGAAGCAGATCAAGACTAAGAATTATGAAAAACAATATAATTTCTATTTTAAGTATATTAAGCTTATAGTCAAAGTTCTTCAAAGGCATCTGCCTATTTAGGTCAACAGGCAGTGATTTAAGAATGTGAGAGACCCCAGGTCTTAAAAGTTTGTCCCCTTATGAATATAGTTGATTGGTTCATTCATTTTGTTCAACAAATTGTTGTTGAGAAATTTTAAAATCAACAAATGGGACTTACTTAAACTGAAAAGTTTTCTCTCAGCAAGAGAAACAATAAAAGAGGTAAATAGGGAGCCTACATCATGGGAACAAATTTTTACTCCTCACACTTCAGATAGAGCCCTAATATCCAGAGTATACAAAGAACTCAAAAAATTAAACAATAAGAAAACAAATAACCCAATCAACAAATGGGCCAAAGACCTGAACAGACACTTCTCAGAGGAGGATATACAATCAATCAACAAGTACATGAAAAAATGCTCACCATCTCTAGCAGTCAGAGAAATGCAAATCAAAACCACCCTAAGATACCATCTCACTCCAGTAAGATTGGCAGCCATTATGAAGTCAAACAACAAGTGCTGGAGAGGATGTGGGGAAAAGGGTACTCTTGTACATTGCTGGTGGGACTGCAAACTGGTGCGGCCAATCTGGAAAACAGTATGGAGACTCCTGGGAAAGCTGGGAATGGAACCACCATTTGACCCAGCTATTGCCCTTCTTGGACTTTTCCCTGAAGACCTTAAAAGAGCGTACTACAGGGATACTGCTACATCGATGTTCATAGCAGCACAATTCACAATTGCTAGACTGTGGAACCAACCCAGATGCCCTTCAATAGATGAATGGATAAAAAAAAATGTGGCATTTATACACCATGGAGTATTACGTAGCACTAAAAAATGACAAAATCATAGAATTTGCAGGGAAATGGATGGCACTAGAGCAGATTATGCTTAGTGAAGCTAGCCAATCCCTAAAAAACAAATACCAAATGTCTTCTTTGATATAATGAGAGCAACTAAGAACAGAGCAGGGAGGAAGAGCAGGAAGAAAAGATTAACATTAAACAGATACATGAGGTGGGATGGAAAGGGAGAGAAAAGGGAAATTGCATGGTAATGGAGGGAGACCCTCATTGTTATACAAAATTACATATAAGAGGTTGTGAGGGGAATGGGAAAATAAACAAGGAGAGATATGAATTACAGTGGATGGGGTAGAGAGAGAAGATGGGAGGGGAGGGAGGGGGGATGGTAGAGGATAGGAAAGGTAGCAGAATACAACAGTTACTAATAGGGCATTATGTAAAAATGTGGATGTGTAACCGATGTGATTCTGCAATCTGTATTTGGGGTAAAATTGGGAGTTCATAACCAACTTGAATCTAATGTATGAAATATGATATGTCAAGAGCTTTATAATGTTTTGAACAACAAATAAATAAATAAATAAATAAATAAATAAAAAAGAAATTTTAGTTTTCAAAAAGCAAAGTTTGGATATTAGAAGGTATCGGAGACTTCTGACATTCTAGCAGGGAAGTTGACACGAAAGTAAACACATCAAGAAATTATAATGATATCATCTGCTCTGTTCCACAGGTATCAATCAAGTGTTTGGAAGCAGCAATTCTGGAAGAGCTGCAGAAGTCTTCCCTGCAGCTCTCCATCACCTAGAGGAGAGGATAAAAGAGATTTATCACAGTGATGCAGTACAGAGAGGCTTCTGAAGACTGGGGTTGGAGGGAATTTTCTGTGGTGAATTCTGAGGTACAGTTTTACTGAGACAGAATATATTAAATATAAAAGGTAAGGCATTTATTCATTCAGCCAATAGTTATCTACCATGAACGAGGTACCAGTACCATTCCTGACATCCCCCCGTGAACCACAAAATTCCCTGTCTTCACAGAATTTGCATGCTTTTGGGAGCAAACAGGCAGGAAGAAACACAAATAAGTAAATAACAAAGTATGTTGGAAAGTACACTTCAAGGAGTTTCTCATCCTACAAACACTTTGGGATTAGGTAATTTCTCAAGGGATGACATAAAAATCGGAGTCACAGTTTGTCTATTAGTTTCACGACACCAAGAATGAGGACTGCAGTGCTTATATTCTGATTGCATATTTGATAATGCTACCTTCTTACCTGTCTTCTTTCCCGAACTACGTACATCACAGGCTCCTCGAGGGCAGGGACTGTTCCAGTTTTTATGTTCCTGGATCCCTGCACAATGGAAGCTGAGGAAAAGACCGGTGATGATTTATAATCATCACGGAAGGATGTGCAGGCCTCTAGGGTGGTAAGGACAAATGGAGCAGAATGTGAAAAGGCAGGAAGAGAGCACGGAGTATCTGAGACCCAGTGAGGAAGTGAGTCAGAGTTGAGCTCTAATGTGGAAACCTCATGATACTTCGTGATGCAGAAAGAACAAGTAAGAAAACTCTTTTATAAATGGGAGACATAAGAAGGAACGAGGAAGCTATCCATTTAATGTCATATGATCCCCCTGACTCATTTCATCCTTTTGTGGACAGCCTAGCCACATCCGGTTATCTACAAGATTAATCAAGATTAATCTTGTACAAAATTGTACAAGATTAATCATGTACAATCCATCTGTAAGTGGTGGGGGTGGGGGAGGAGTTTATTTAAAAGTTATATGTCTTGTAGGATGTTTTACACAAAGCAACTTGTGCCTTGGAGGCCCTTGAAACAACATCCAAATGGTGCTTACTGTCAGTGTCCCTGAGATAAGTAAAGCCAATCTCTGGGCAATTGGTTACTCTTGCTAACATAGTAGTCTCTTGAGGTTTTGAGCAAATTAAGTTCTTCTCACTTCTGGCTCTTCAACTCTTTAAAATTGCAAAGCATTGGTTAGCATTGGGAATGTCTAACTACTTCCAGGGGAGATAGGTAGGAAACAATTCCTGTTTTTCTTGAGCACTCTGAGTCCTGCAGAATGGAGATACTGTAGAAAAGGAATGGGACGTTTATTATTATAATGAGTGAGGGTTTGGAGGGACACAAGTGGGATTGCATATCGCTATGATGAAAAGATAATTAGTGAAACATCTGTAGCCTGGGCAATTAATCTAGCGATGATTACACAGAGGCTGGCGGGGAAGGCAACATGGTGTATTATACAGGATCCTGGAGGACCACTAAACAGACTGTAGGACTTCTGTGGGATGAGAAGAAGAAGGAAGGAGACAACTTGTTATGCAAGACAAGTAGTAAAAGGAGCCCAAGCAAATGGCATAACAAAAACATCACTCTTCTCTTGAATGGAAGTATTAAAAATGCAAAAATCTGGGAGTGCATATTTTACTTGATTTTAGTTTCAGTTTGAATACATTCGGGACTTCTCCTCAAGCACCTGCTCCTTCCTGTTTTTTCCTACTGCCCTCCCGACTGGAAAAAGAAAAAAGGACAAAACAAAACATGGAGCACATTGATTGGAAACAATCCCAACAATCAGATCAGAATAAATGAAGGCAAAGCAGAGTGAAGTCATCTCTGACCGTGTAACTGAACAAAAGTGGCAATTTAGAAACAGCAGGAGTGATTAAGTTTGTGAGCGGAATAGAGAGAAGGTGAAATTTATAAGGATCTTATTTTAACGTAAATGTTTTCTTGGTGAAATGGTTTTGGGAGATAGATCAGAGACTGCCCAGGCATTCCCCAGAGTCTCCTGTTCTTGTGGGGTAAGGATGGAAGAGTGGAGGACAAGGTCATTGTCTTCTCACATACCAAGACCCTTTGTTCTGCAAGATCACAAGTGGTCTGATCTTGTCTTGAATACTTCTGAAAATTACTAGAAGCACTGACCTGTTCCACAGGCCTGTCTTGGATGCTGTCTCTCTCTCTAGGTTCCTGAGCTGGGGCTCTCCATCCATCAGGTCCCTCTCCTGCTGCTATAGCTCTTCATTCATTTTATTCTCCAAGAGGGGCACTCTGTTGAGTCATGCTTTAATAAAGACCTGAGGACAACGTAAGTGGATTAGAGAACCACAATCTTCTGTGATCCTTACGGGAGGGCCCTTGTTGGCCTTCTGACCCCCCCTGGGATGGCATAGCAACACCCTGGCCCCTCACTTTCCATGTTCCCAGTCACCTGTATCAGAAGTGGCTTTTCTTGCCAACCTATCCAGCAGGAGAAACACTCCAGTGATGTGGTGATCATCCCTTGAGCAAAGTCCTGCGCCCACAATAAAGTTGAACTTTTTCTGTATTAAATCTACTAGTTTAAGCATTTCCTCAAACTTATTTGAGATAGGTTATTGCCTTTCCTTGGTTGACCAGAGTAGCTCGTCAATGTTGTCAGACTTTCTGGAATGTGTTTCAGCATCCATCCCAGTATATAAAGCACTTCATTTTTCTCACTCTGAAAACTCCAAGTCCAACAGTGTTGAGATCCAGATGCTATTGCCTGAGAAATGCTTAAAGTTTTCAACCAGTTACTCCAATGACAATTTTAACAGCTCTGTTCTCCAGGAGGGTGGTAACGTGGAAATGGTTAGTAGGCCTGAGAGCGCTACTATATGGGAAATTCTCATCTTTGTCACTCCATGGTAACAGATTCTGTAGCCATGAAGCTCAAAGGCATCTGCTTGCTCTTGGAGTTCAGAAGCCAGACTCTGGTGCTTATTAGCTGTGTGCCTATGGACATTTCAATGAATGTTACCTGTGTGACTATGAGATGACAGCTGCGTAACTATGTGAAATATAAACAAGTGTCTGAATTTTAAGTTTTCTCAAGAATTTCCCACTCTCTGCACTTGTGGACAATATTGCTCTACAGTATTTCATCTGTCTTATTCGTTTGGAAATTTCTGCGCAGATGTAGATCACAGATTATGGGGAATAAAATTCTTGTGTTCTGCCCACTTTAGTAATTTCATGGTAGGAGAAACTTGCAAAACTTGTAAACATTTTACTTAATAAACATGCAATTAGTCTCTGGATACCCAATGAAGTTAAAAGTATGCTGATGGCATCCATCAATAAAATGTTTTGTGAGATACTATAATTTTCAGTGCTTCTTTAGACACTCAGAATCATTTTCAGCAATGTAAAATGAGTTTTGATTACTGTCTGAATCTCCCTACAATAGCCTTGCGTAATACTTATTTAACCAACATTTGTTAAACAAAAGTAAGTATGTCACAAAGAAGTTATTTCTTGCTCAGTAAGATACAGAACTGCCTGGAAAAATTGGTATTCTTAAAAAACACAGGTAAAATGAGAGCAGGTCAAGGTGGTTTAGTTTTATGTGCTAAGATTGACAAAAAATAATGAAAATATTAATAAGAATGGCAATTCTATTTTCTAAATAGGTAGCAGGTACTTGGCAGAGTACAGAGTAATTTATCTTTAGCTTCTCATTTTTTCTTAATGGTTTTGAGGATGGAGGTGGCCATGGTAACTTCCTGCTTTTGATGGGAATGCTCCCAACCCTATACTATAAGCCTTTCCATGGTTTCAGACACTGCTGCTGTGATCAACATGTGGCAACAGTCTAATGAATACTTAGCATTCATTGAATAAGTAAGTGTAGGAATGAAGCCTGATTGTTCCAAGGCGAATGGAGAGACAGTGTTATTGAGACAAATTTTATTTGAAACTTATATTTAGATCAAGCTCTGGGGCTCCTGGCAGCAAGACTAAAAGAGAGCTATAGCAAATGTGAAATTCTATCAATGCTTCCTATTTATTGAGCAATTAGTGTCTGGTAAGTCGTGGATCTAAATACTAGCTCGTATATATTGATTATTCAGTATGTACTAACATTTTCCTAAGTGTATAAGATGGAATTGTCATTCTCATTACTATTTACATTGTTTCCATCAATATTAGCAGTTAAAACTAAACTATCTTGTATATCTTCCATATATCTAGTCTCTGTTTATCTGTTTTCTTTAAGAAAGTCAATTCTTCCATACAACTTTATATCTTACTGAGCAAGGAATATCTTCTTTGTGGCCCAGTTAATTTTATGGTGAATATTAGTGAAATAAGTCTTATGCAATAATATGCATTGTAGTGAGACTGTGCAAAGTAGATAAGTAAAATATAGGATACCAAGTTAAATGCGGAATTCTGATGAAAACAAATAATTTTAGTGTTAGTATGGGACTAAGTTACTTCTTTTTCTCTCCTGGAATTCAAATTTAATTGAATGTCTTATAATTTTATTTGTCAAATTGGATGGACTTAATTATATTCCTCATCTTAATAATACGTCAATCTTCAGAGGCTTATTTTAAAAATGACAGCATTGGAGCATATGAAAGTTGTGTAATCTGTCTAACATCACATATCACTATGTGGTAAACAGGGCTGAAATTGAGACAGACCAGCTCCGGAGACCATGACCTAAACCACAGTGTTATGCTCCCAACAACCCTGTGAGATGGCATAATTAGGCCCATTTTATGCACATGATATCATATTTACTTGAAATCAAGGAACTTTTGTCATATTATGTAGCTAATAACAGAGGCAGAACTGTGCTTTGAACCCAGGGGTGCCTGTCTCCAGAGTTAGTACTTTTTAATCCCCATCTTTGAAGACAAAACCATATAACTAGAATTTTTCAAGGTCAGGAAACGATGAGGTTTTTCAGTTGTTAATATTTTCTTCCAGGGTAATATGAGACACTGGAGAATAAAAAATAAATGCCTAGGGAAGGCCTAATGCTATTTGGTGTCAACAAATTATATACAGTGTCACCAAGATTCCTTTTAGAGTAAGGATTTATTCCACTATTTCTAATAGCTTAAGTGTTGGCATTAGAATATTTCTGTAGCTAGAGGATCTGAACTGTAGAGAAGCTGAGTCATCTTTCAGTATTTTACCTTATGCAGATGTCGGCTCAGCGGATTTATTAACCATCCACAGCCTGGAGACCTTCAACATGATTGCCGTGAAAGCATTTCCTAAATATTGCCCTTGTCTACTTCATTTGTGACTTAGAATAAGCAATGATATCTTTCAGTCATAAAGAAACATGGAAGACCATCCATTAACCTGAATCATTCTCACTGTGGCCAGCCTGATTCTGTCCCAACACTGCAGCTCAGGACAACTCTAAGACACAATACAGTACTAGGCTTGTCGGTAAGGAGAGTTTTTTAAAATAAACAAATCAGATGACCTTAGCTTTTTAAAAAGTGCTCATTAGAATCAAAGTCAGTCAAATGGATATATTTCTGATGACAGTCATAGAAAACTGTGCTCTCAGAATTAAATTTGCCTCATCTCCCTGTTATTTGAGACAATTGGCCATTTGTGTGAAAATCAAGTAATTATACGCTCTAGTGCTTTTTGAAAGAAGCAGAGAAAGAGAGAGAGGCACAAATGTGGTCCACCTGTGAATAGTAATGCATTTGGGTTGGATCATTCAAGCTGAGAATGGTGCTGTCACCCATCTCAGGGGTGACTTGGTAACTCTGGAGTCTCCTTTGGGTTCTAGGTTATGAGCTTGATAGTTGTTCGCTTCCGAGGATGGAAATTTCTGTTTAAATACTTTCAGAGGGTTGCCCCATAAGACTAAGGTTTTGCTTAGAAGGCTCATTACTGTACTTAATTACGCAGGACCTAGAGGACACTTCACTTCTATATCATATAACAGAATATACTTTACATGTTTTTACAAGTGTTGCTGAGGCTGGAGCTATTTCCAAGATTACACAGTCAGAGCACTTTGGAAGTAGGGTTGAAACTCAGCTCTCTGGTGCCTTCCCTATTATGTAATATTATTGCTTTATGATTTTTCCAGTTGTCATTTGTGACAGGATAAGCCCAATTTGTTGTAGGGACCTTTAGAAGTAAGTGGAATATAAGATAATTTTCTAAAAATTTCTATTTACCACCAGGGAAGATTGGCCTGAAGTCAAATTTAAGGCAAGATAATATGTTACCCTATGTCTGACCGTGTTTATCTCTGTCCTCTGAGTTTCCCTTTTCCTTTTTCAGTGACAGGAACCCTCACTCTGTCTGTTCTTTTATATCTGGAAGTCCTTACTTCCAAATGCTCTGAAGCTGTCTTTCTGAGTCAATGCTCCAACGTGATTCTCCTTCCAGTAAAACTCTAGAATATTCTCTTCCAGATGTTCTAGGCAGAAATAAACCAGCTAATCAATTCCCAGCTATCCATAAATGACTAATACTGTCACTTTCAGGGGTCCATGGATTTGAAAAGAGAAAACATGGAGGCTAAGATACATAAAGAGAAATTAAACATTTTGTCTTATGTTTTCACTTTAATTTGGCAGGTGAATTTATTTTTATAGTCTCCTTAGACTCGTGATGCTTCCTGTATTTGAGGGTTCACGTGTATCAATAATTCTAGAATATTCTGAGTTATTATCTGTTTGAATATTACCATTTCTTAATTCTCTGGAAGGTCTCTTCTATAACTTGTATTGGACAGTTCTTAGATCATCTAAAATATTAGTACACAGTTTGCTACACAGTAAATGATAGATTGTTGGTAACAATGATCATGATGACCACAAGGAAAATTAATTTAGAAATGGCAGGTCATGATGTATGTAAAAGATCAAAGGCTTTGGAGTAATCTTGACTTGGGTTCATATATATTAGCTGTGTGATCTTGGCCTCTTTTAACCTCAATTTCCTTGTTGGCCAAAAAACACTCAGCTCATTGATCTTTAAGTGATTTGGTATAAATGCAGGTTCTAAATAAGCATTTCTTTTCCTGTCTTCACTAACTATTTGTTTGTTTGTTTGTTTGTTTATGGTACTGGTGATTAAACCCAGGGGTGTTTAACCACTGAGCCATATCCTCCATCCCTTTTACAATTCTTTTTATTTTGAGACAGTGTCTTGCTAAGCTGCTTAGAGCCTCCTTAAGTTGCTGAGGCTGGCTTTGAACTTGTGATCCTCCTGCCTCAGCCTTCAGAGATTCTGGGATTACAGGCATGTGCCACCATGCCCAGCTACTAAAACTATTTTAAATCATCAAATCATAGCCACTGTTAGACTGGAGAAGTAACCTGGTTTGATTTGGTTAGGCTACACACGAGGATGAGTGAGGCTGTTTATGTATATGGAAGATTCAGTTGTTGAGCTTTAAACATGGTTTATGGTAGCTACTAAGATAGTGGGGTGGGCAAACAGAACGAATGAGCTGGGATGCTCAACTAAGGGGGGTCACGTAGATCATAACGAGAGCTATGATTATACAAGCTGAGTGGGCCAGATTAATATTCATTTGCCCGCTTTGCCAGAATGATGGGTTTTATGCTGCAGATGAACAGATGGAGTTTAAGAAACTCATCATCAAGTTCACCACCGTTTGACCCAGTTATCCTACTCCTTGGTATATATCCAAAGGACTTAAAATCAGCATACTATAGTAATGCAGCCACATCAATGTTACTAGCAGCTCAATTCACAATAGCTAAGCTGGGGAACCAATGTGGGTTCCCTCAACAGATGAAAGGATAAAGAAAATATGGTGCATATGCACAATGGAATATTAACCATTGAGAAGAATGAAACTATGGCATTTGCCAGTAAATGGATGAATATGTAGATTATCATGCTAAGTGAAATAAACCAATCCCAAGAAACCTAAGGCCGGATGTTCTCTCTGATATGCAGATGCTAACACACAATAAGGTGGGGTGGAAGAATAGAAGTTCACTGTATTAGACAAAGGGGAATGAAGGGAAGGGAGAGGGGATGGGAATAGGAAACACAGTGGAATGAATCTGACATAACTTCCTGTGTATACGTATGAGTACATCACAGTGAATCCCACCATCATGTACATCCACAAAAGTGGGGTCCTAAGTGAATAAAATATATTCCATGTATGAATAAGTATATTAAATTATATTCTACTGTCATGTATAACTAAAAATTAAAATTAAAAAGAAAGAAAAAAGCCTGAAAAAAATTCTAGTCCCCGCCCCCCCCCCAAAAAAAAAAAAAATCTAAAGATAGCAAAAGGAGTTGGTGGAACACAGAAAAGACAGCCAACTTTGCCATAGTTTAGGAATAAAGTAAAAAGGGCTTGGGTCAATGTATTGGCAATTGGATAAAGGAGGAAATTAAAAACACATGGTTGCCAGGTGTGGTGGTGCATGCCTGTGATCCCAGCAGCCGGGGAGGCTAAGGCAGGAGGATTGTAAGTCCAAAGCCAGCTCAACAACTTAGTGAGGCTCTAAGTAGATTAGCAAGACCTTGTCTCAAAACAAAATGTTTTAAAAAAGGGCTGTGGATGTGGCTTTATGGTTATATTCCCCTGGGTTCAATCCATGGTATGTACAAACAAACAAAAGAAACCAAAACCAAACAACAAACTCCACTATTGGAAGAGGTAGAATTTACTGACTGAATGGGAAGATGAGGCAAAAGGAAAAATTAAAGGGAAACCCAAAGCTTGAGACTAGGTGTAAATTCAAAAAGAATGGAAGGCTTAGGTTCAGGAGGGACAGAAAAGCCATTTTAAAATGTGAACAACAGAATTGCAGAATAGCTAGGGTACTGCATGTTGCTTTGTGGTTATCCTGAAATATTTGAAAAACGTTCCAGTACTGTATTCTCTGTTCTCTGTGCTGTTTTCTGCACCTTACCTTCAATCTTTGCTAGTAAATTTCTGCATGTCTTTCAAGATTCAATTCAGGAGCCCTAAGAAAACCTTTTCTGCTTCTACTTCCTTGCCAGGGTTAGGTATCCCTTCTGTGGGATTCAGTAAAATCCTAATTAAACCTCCATCAAAATATTCATTGTGCTGTGTTTGGATGACCTGTCTTCTTCTTCAGAGGGTTAGGAACTCCCTAATACAACCAGAGAGTCTGGTACATACAGGACAACTAAAAAATTACTGGTTGAATGATGAATGATTGAACTCAAGTAGAAAAATCCAGCAAATTAAAAATGTGAGTAGTCATGGTGACTTTTCTTCTCTTTCTTTCTGAATTCAGAGCAGATACAAATATTACAAATATAGGCCTCTTCATTTAAATATTTGGTCTTAGGTTTCAATTTATCTAACTTCTTTCTTGACCTAAAAAATTGGACTATTATTTTAGCAACCTGTCTGAAAAGATTTTGTGCTTAATCAAAACCCATTTGAACAACTCTCTGGATGGAAGGCGTTTTAATTCTTATCTGGTCTCTTTTCTACCTCCAGGAATCAATGGTGCAGCAAGAGATCAGATTTTTTTTTTTTTTTTGCCTTCTCTCTGCTCCTTGAGGTGCAAACCAGTTTTCTAGCTTCAACATCTCCTAACAAATAATTATTTGGTTCTGAAATAAAACTCTTTATTACAGCAATAGTGATAAGATAGCATTAGGACAATAAAAAACAGAGTCTTACTGCATCTGATGTGAGTGCTCCTGGCTGACAGGATCCTGGAGATGGTGAATGGAGCCAGGCAACACTGACTGCCTGAGGTCCAAGTGCAATCACAAACGATTTCCATAAATAGTACTGCTGACTTTTGATTGGCGTGTGTCCTGTGCTGAAGAAAGGGAAAGAGGCTGCTACCCTTGGAGAGAAACGGACTTCTTTTTATGTTGCCAACAAAGAGAAGCCCACTGGCAGTGCACCACGCTATGATGTTTGCTTTGGATTTTAAAAACATATAGCACCACCTGGTTGGAAGAATTGTAATTCTACGTAACTACTGCCTGTGGCATGTAAGGCAAGTGATCCTAGCTCATTAGCAATGTGATTAAGAAAAAAAGAAAATCTCCTCCTTAACAGCACCATGGCAAAACATACATTGGCCCAAAGAGCAAAGTCATAAAAGGGATCAATGAATTGGGAAGTAGGAGACTGAGGGGAAGTAGTGCATTGGGAAATAGACCTGGACTGTAACAGTCTTTGATTCAGTTTTCATACTTTACAATAGGAACTATACAACTCTTTCCTTGAGATCAGAATGATTATTCAGAAAATAGGCACAGACAGGGCATATTTCTTAATACTTATTAAGGGTATGTTGAAATAGGATACTTTCTTGAATAGAGTGCAGCTGCTAATAATAAAATGTTTAAGAGAAGTGGCTTTGTTTTAATCGAAATTGGTGTGACCAATGTACCCATATACAAATGCTGAACCTAAGACAATGGTGGGAAAATAATGAAAATGGACCTTTATATTCTTTTTCTCCTCTTTCTTTTTATCTTCACTCAAATGTTTGGATTTATTCATCTTTGTATGTTCATTAGTTATCATTAACTAGATGTACCTGGATGGTTTTACTTTTTAAAATTATATATTGACCAATTATAGTTGTGTATATTTATGGGGTATGAAGTGATCTTATGATTTTTGAATACAATGTTGAATAATTATGTCAAATTAATTAACCTTCTCAAATATTTGACATTTATGTATGATGACATTAGGGATCTTAGTGATATTAAAATGTACAGCACTCAATTTTTAGCTGTATTGGCTATGCTGTGCAATAGATTGAAGGAAATCAAATATATACCTTCTATCTAACTGTGGCTTTGTATTCTTTGATTCTATTTTCCCCTTTCCTCTCCTGCCCTCCCATCTCTGGTAACCTCAATTGTAACCTCTGCTTCTATATGTGAATCATATTAGATTCCACATATAAGTGTGAGTGTGTGGGTATTAATCTTTCTGTGTTCGTTTTATTTCACCTAACATAATGTTCTCTAATGCCATGAATTTTTTTTCGTAAATGACAGAATGTCTTCCTTTTTTAATGCTGAATAGTATTCCATTTTGTACCCATACCCCATTTTCTTCATTTATATATTCATTGATAGACACAGGGTGATTCCATAACTTGGTATTGTTAGTGCTGGAATGAACGTGAGTGTATAGATATCTCTTCAATATGCTGATTTTCTATCTTTTTTAAAAAATATATTTTTAAAACATTGATAGACCTTTATTTTGTTCATTTATTTATATGTGGTGCTGAGAATTGAACCTAGTGCCTCACACATGCTAGGTAAGTGCTCTACCACTGAGCCACAACCCCAGCTCCTGATTTTCTTTTAGGAGTAGAATAGCTTTATTCTATGTTAATTCTATTTTTTTCTTGAGGAAATTTCATACGGCTTTCCATAATGGTTATATTAATTTATATTTTCACCAACAGTGTACAAAGCTCCTTTTCTCAAAAGCTTTTTTAACACTATTATCATTTTTCTTTTTGATAATGCACATTCTAAAAGGTATGAGGTGATATCTCATTGTGGTTTTAACTTGCAGCTCCTTAGTATTGCTGATGATGAGCATTTTATTTTTTTCCTGCTTTTATTTTTTATTAATTTTATTTTTTTAAATACATGACAGTGGAATGCATCACAATTCTTATTACACATATAGAGCACAATTTTTCATATCTCTGTTTGTATATAAAGTATGTTGACACCCAATTCGAGTCTTCATACATGTAATTTGGATGTCCATCACATTCCACCATCCTTGCTAATCCCCTGCCCTCTCCCTTACCCTCCCACCCCTCTGCCCTATCTAGACTTGTCTATTCCTCCCATGTTCCTCCTCTTTACCCCACTATGAGTCAGCTTCCTTATATCCGAGAAAACATTCTGCATTTGTTTTTTTTGGAATTGGCTAACTTCACTTAGCATTATCTTCTCCAACGCTAGATGATGAGCATTTTAAAAGTGTATCTGCTAGCTATTTGCATTTATTCTTTGGAGAAATATCTATTCAGGATCTTTCCTCATTTCTTAGCTATATGACTTCTTTTCTTTATAGAAAGAAAAGTTGTGTGAGTTCCTTATATACTTTGGATACTAATCCCTTGTCAGATGTATGGCTTGCAAATATTTTCTACTAATCAGTAGGTGTCTCTTCACTCTCTTTGTTGTGTGGAAATATTTAATTTGATATAATCCAAATTGTCTTATCTTTTGCTTTTATTGCTTATATTTTTGGGGGTTAAATCTAAAAATACCTTTGCTTAGATCAAGTGTGTGTAGTTTTCCTCCTAAGTTTTCTTCTAGTTGTGCTTCAGTTTCAGGTTTTAAGTTTATACTTTTAATTCATTTTGAGTTTATTTTTGTCTGTGGTGTGATGTATGTGTCTAATTTCATTCTTTTGTATATAGATATCTAGTTTTTCCAATACCATTTATTGAAGAGATTTTCTTTTTCCCTATGGAGGTTTTTGACATCTTTGTCAAAAATCAATTGACTTGGGGCTGGGGTTGTGGCTCAGCGGTAGAGCACTTGCCTAGTAGATGCGAGGCGCTGGGTCTGATCCTCAGCACCACATAAAAATAAACAAATAAAGGTATTGTGTCCAACTACAAATTAAAAAAAATATTTAAAAAAATCAATTGACTTTAGACATGTGACTTAATTTCCATGCTCTCTATTCCATTCCAGCCTACTTTATTGGTCAATGTGTCTGTTTTTATGCCATTACCATACTGTTTCAATTACTATTGTCTTGTAGTCCAGTTTGAAGTCAGGTAGTGTGATGCCTCCAGCTTTATTCCTTTTGCTCAATATTGCCTTATTTATTGAGTGTGTGTGTGTGTGTGTGTGTGTGTGTTGTGTGTGTGTGTGTGTTTCTATGTGAATTTTAAGACTTTTTTCTTTTATGAAAAATGACATTGGGATCTTGATAGAGATTGCACTGACATTGTGGATTTCTTTGAGTAATATGGACATTTAAACAACATTACTTCTTCTAATCCATGAACATGGGCTATCTTTCTACTTGTGCCTTTTTTCAATTTCTTTCATTAAGTATTTATGGTTTTTGGTATTAAACTTTTTTACCTCCTCGGTTAAATTTATTTGTATGCATTTTATTTGAAATTTTTTTTGTGGCTAATGTAATTGAGATTGTTTTCTAAATTTTTTTGAAAGTTCATTGTTAGTTCAGAGAAGTACTGATTTTTATATGTCAAATCTGTATCCTGCAACTTTCTTGAATTTGTTCTTCAGTTCCACTGATTTTTTTTAGGATATACTATATGTATGGTCATGTCATCAGCAAACAGTGACAGCTATACATTTTTCTTTTCTTTTTGATACTATTAATTTCTTTCTCTTACTCTGTGGCTCTCACAAGAACATACAATACCATATTGAATAACAGTGTTAAGAGTGGGCATTCTTGACATGTTCTTAGAGGAAAGGTTTCCAGTTTTTCACTACTGAATATGTATTTGCCATGGTCTTATTATGTGTTGCCTTTATTATGTTGAAGCACATTCTTCCTATGCCTAGTTTGTTGAGTGTTTATTATGAAAGTATATTTATCTTTGTCAAACGCTTTTTTGTATCTGATGAGATGTGATTTTTTTTCTTTAACCTGTTAATATGGTATATTATATATATGGATCTGTAAATATTGAAACATCTTTGCATTCCATGGATAAATCCCCTTGATCATGCTGAACAATCTTTTTAAAGTATTATTAAATTCAATTTCTAGTATTTTTCTGAGGATTTTTATATCCTCATATAATGTATTACATTAAGTCCACTTGGTCTAAGGTTTTGCTCAATCTGAATGCTTTCATATTAGTTTTCTGTCTGGATAATCTGTCTGATATTTAAAGTGGTGTGTTGAAATCTCCTATTTTTCATTTTAATCTAACTCTCCCTTCAACGTCAAAGATCTGTTAATATTTGCTTTATGAATTTAGGTGCTGTACTGCTGAGTGCATTTATAACTGCTGTATCCTCTTTATGGATTGACCCCTTTGTCATTATAGAATGTCCTTTTTTTTCCCTTATCAGTTTTGACAAAGTCTATTTGGTTTAATATATATGGTATGTAATACATATACATATATCTTCCATTTGCGTAGAACGTCTTTTTCATTCCTTCACTTTCAGTCTATGTGTGTCCTTAAATGTGAAGTATCTTATAGGCAACATATAATTGAGTTGTTTTTTATTCCTTTCATTCATGCTGGATATTTTGATGGAAGCATTTAGTCTACTTACAGTCAAAGTAATTATTGATAGATAAGGGCTTACTATTGCCATTTTGTTGTTTTATGGTTGTTTTGTAGATACTTTTTTTCTTACTCCTTTTCTGTCCTCATTTGTAGTTTGATGATTTTTTTCTGTAGTGTTTTGTTCTTAGTCTGTGTGCATATGTGTGCACTTTCTCTGATTTTTGTTAATATGAGAATTTCATAGAATATCTTTCACTTATAACAGTCTCTTTCAAGCTGATAATAGCCTAACTTTGGTTATATACAATAAATAAATATTTCTACTGCCCTCACTACCCTCTCTAATGGATCTGTATTTTTAGGGAGGAAAACAACTATGAGAACTACAGCCATGACCATCTGTGTATCTGTGTATTTTCTACCCTTCCTATTCCTAACCAATACGAGTGTGTGTGCGCGCGCACGTTCACGCGCATGTCTGCACCCAATAGAGCTCAATTCAGAAAAATTTTACTGGGGGTAATGGGGCATGATGAAT